TCTTGTCTTGAATAATAGCTAATTTTTTGCAGCTGAATAGCCGTATGGAGTTGGCCAATGAAACATAAGAAATCCATCAGCCTTCCTTCATTCCTTCCCATATGCTTCTTCACTTCAGACTGGAAGCTTTCTTCCTGGGGTGTCATATTAAGTCTATGGTTCATACCCATACTAACCCCTTTATCAAAAGACACTTAGCCATACCTTTAGTATTCTCTCCCAAACCCTTTCTTATTTTTGCAATACGAATAGCCTGAAAATGTTTCAAATCTTTAAACTTTGCTTCATTCTTGCTAAACAATTTCATTTTAAGTAATTTTTGTGTCTCGCATTTTACTACAAGTATTCAAGAGAAGCCAAGATACACCTGCAAAAATTTTCTTGGAAATCTCTCTAGCTATGATTCTATTTCATTGCTCCCAAATTTTACATACTGTAAAACACTAGAACACAAACACAATTTAGCAAAATTATTTTCTACTTTTTCAAGTTTCTAATAAGGTGTTCCTCATTTCCATCTGAAAGTTCACTAGAATGACATTCACTGTCCATATTTCTATCAACATTCTGTTCCAAGTTATTTAGATATTCTTCAAGAAGATGAAGCATTTCTCTATTATTCTCTTTTCTTTCTGAGGCCTCACCGGAATTATCCTCAATGATCTTTTCACAGCAATGAAGACTTTTTCTAGCATGCACCTAAAACTCCTTCAGCCTTTAACTATTACCCAGTTCCAAAGCCACCTCCACATTTTCAGATGTCTGTTATAGTAGCAACCCACTTTTGACACTAATCTTAGTTTGTGCTGCTATAACCAATTATGGTTTACTAGGTGGCTTATAAACAGAAGAAATTGATTTCTCAAAGTGCTGAAGCCTGAAAAGTCTAACATTAAGCAAGGCATGGCAATTTTGGTATCTGCCGAGGGCCAGTTTCCTGGCTCATAGACGGCCATTGTTCTGCTGTGTCATCACATGGTCAAAAGGCAAGAGAGCCCTCTCTCGCCTTTCTTATAAGGGCACTATCTCATTCATAAGAGCTCTACGTCCATGACATAATCACTTCCCCACAGCCCCATTCCTAATAATATCACTTTGAGTAGGGCCCCCTCCAACCCCTGTCTGTAGACCAGTACTGGTCCATGGCCCGTGAGGGACCAGGCTGCACAGCAGGAGATGAGCAGCAGGCAAGAGAGCATGACCACCTGAGCTCTGCCCCTTGTGAGATCAGGAGCAGCATTAGCTTCTCATAGGAGTGCAAACCCCATAGTAAGCTGTCCATGAGAGGGATCTAGGTTGTGCGCTTCTTATGAGAAGATGATACATATATACATTTGTATGTATGGGTTCATATATTCATCTTTATACATGTATCCATATGTATATATAATATATATGTGTATGTATTCAAGTTACAGTATAAAACCATTACAAACACTTTGCTCCCTATTTTTAATTATGCTCAAATGGTGTTAGCAGTGTAAGAATTACTTTTTTATTTTAACTAAGAATAACAAAAGAATAGGTTCTTTATTTTTCCAATAGATCTGCTTTTCTCCTGATATAAATGACACTTAAGAAATGGCTCAGTCATCCACCTGTTCACAAATAACCTATAAGTTATGTCTTTTTATTTTTTCTTCACCCTCCATAACCAATATATAAGATGATATTATCTATTATTGTGAACATCTACATATGTGAATTAGATCTACATCTTAGGTCTGATTTCCCAGAAGCAAACCCTGAGACAAGGATTTGTGTGCAATGGACTGGTTAAAAATTTTGTTCCAGGTAAGGAATTGCAGGATAAAGTGGAGTCATAGGACAGGGATGGAAAAGAAGCCAAATACAGGTATCAAAGTCCCTGCTTCAGTATGATTCTGTAGGAAAACTCTAGAATATAAGTAATATGGTGGTTTTCATATTTCTGCACCTGTTATATACTGGCAAAGGGATGTTATAGATGTTTGTAAACTTTCGGGCACATTAGGTGTCCTGTGCATGTGGGCGAAGGGGTTCCAGTAGCCAAGGGAAGTTGTTCAAAGATAGTTGCAGGTGCGGATCATTAGAAGCAAAAGCATACAAAAATTGTCACGTATGTAGTGTGAGTGTGTGGCCGTATTAAAGGATCAAAGGGGATCTGAGTAGCGTTTCACTGTCTACTTCAAACCTCTTCTCTATATGCCTTCATCATCTCTTACTGGACTAGAGTAATAGAGCCTAACTGATCTCTATCTTAACCAAATCCGTTTCCTGCCCTCTAACCTATTTTCTAGTCTGCACCAGATTGATCTTTTCTGAGCATATCACGTTAAAATCTTCCAACTGCTTTCAATGGCACTGAAAATGAATGAGAATTTCTTACTGTAGTTTATAAAAGCCTATGGGATCCTAGCTCCAGCCTAAGTCTGTTTCCCCATCTAACAAAACTAGATTGTTCTGCTCAAAGGCCTACATTCCACACAAAGTGGGCATCACTGTTAGAACTGACCCCAGGAAATACAGAGTACCCTTTGATTGCACTGGCAAGGGTTATAAGCAAGGTCAATGATCAAAATAAATTCTACCAGTGGAAAGAAGCCAGGGTAACCCGTGTGGTCAACTAAGGAATTTGTTGTATTTTATCAAAGTAAGATAACAGCTACCCTTGAGATTCTCTGGCTGTTCATTTTCCACTACGGCATCACTGAGCTACAAAACGCGGGGCATGTTCTGGGCCAGTGGCCACTAGGTGTTACTTTTCCATTACACATCTTTCTAAGCACTATTGGACATTGTAAATTTCCCATATCTAATTCAGGGTTTTATATTGGCTGTAATTAAGTTTACCGATTATTCCGTAGTTTATAGGATTACAAATAGCCACGTAAAAGTTCTGATGATAATAACCATAGCCTGAGATTTTGACATTGAAAAATGATGCAATTTTGGATTACAGTAATTCTGAAGTTTAACCATATGTATGTATTAAGAGCAGCATACATTTGTAACCATATGTTTGTGTTAAGAGCTAACAGTGATCAGTTTCTTAAAGAATAGGTATGGAAATTAAGGTACATAGATGTGTTGGACAGAACCTGTAGCTCTGGACCATAAAAAGAATCTGTAATTCCACCTGCCAGTGACCATTGTTCTTTCTGCTGAGTAAGTTGGACCCATATCTCTATGCCTATAGTAGGAGCAACCATGCTTGATGATGACCGTGACAATGATGATGCTTGTGATGATCATGATGATAATACTAATATGTTGAGTTGTGTGCTAGCACTATGCTAACTCTTCCAGATGTATTGTCTTATATTAAAAACCGTGTTTAAGACTGTGGGTCTGAAACATGATTCTGACACTTATTACCTGTATGACTTTTGTCATATAGCTTAAATTCATCATACCTCAGATTTGCTATCTTCAAAATAAAATAAATCATTGTAATATACATATTACTTTGTATTGATAAAAGTTTAAAATAAAGTTTAAAACAATACATTTTGGGTAAGGTACTAATTAAGACCAAGTGATATAGGCTGGCATTCAAGACTATCACAGATAGTAAGGCGGAAAGCCAAGCTAGATCCTTATATTTGACCTTTATATTTTGTAATTCCCATTACTGAATTCATAGATCCTTGGTTGAACATTGGATTTCTGGCTTAAACCTGGTAAATCAGAGTCCATTTTCAGGATTTTTAAAACTCCAATTAGAAAAGACTATCAGTTGCTTTCAAAAATTGAAGATTTTAAATATGAATTCAGGGGATATTATCAGCCACATAATTTATTCAAACCGAGGAGGCTTAGTCAGGATGAGAGACAAAATGAAAGAGAGAGAGAGAGACAGAGACAGAGAGAGAGAGAGAGACAGAGAGAGAGAGAGAGAATAGAATACTCAAGCCCCTAATGCTAGTTTTCATGATAAGGAAATGCCCAGCTGCTTTTTTGCTCCTTTTGTTGTTTTCCTTTCCATACTTAATTTGATTTTATAACCCAATGGCTTTTTGCCTGATAGTTTGAGAGTGGTTTCCATTGCTTAACCAATCATAGCCATGATCATCTCACATCTTTTACATTAAATATCATACAAATTAAACCCAATTTGATAACAAATAAAACTAATTCTGAAACACCAAATATACTATGATTTTGTACAACAATAATCAACTTATTATATTAACAAGGAAACATTGTTTCCAATTTCTGGATCAGAATATCCTATAGGTAACATGCCTTATCTAATTTTGCAATATCAGCTTTGTATGCTCTTTTTTCTTATTACTTTAGAAATAAATTTGTTCTTAAAAAAAAATTTTACCATGTAAAATTTTCATTTAGAGCATGTACTCCTCAGTCTCAAATAAATTTGACTGCCCTACTCAATTACTTGCTGAAAAATATAGTGATTGGTTTGGAAAAGATCGACATGGTAATAAGTACTGCAAGACACAATCCTGAGTATATTTGGTATCATTTAATTTGCCTTGAGGGAACATTTCAACCTGATAGAAGGAGGAAGAGTAAGGACAAAGAGGAAGATAGGAGGCAGAGGAGAGAAACAGTTTATTAGAAATGATGGATTATGAGAAGTTCTATTTAAAATATATAATTTCATATGCATATGTAAATGTTAATAAATATTCTACTTTTGTTAGTCTTAAGGACTATGGAACATTCACTGTGATAATTTGTGTACTGTAGAGCTTACTTTTCAAAATATTTATTGTTTTAAATTACAAATATATTAATATGCATCTGATTATTTTATAGTTATCTTCAATTAGCTGCTAAATTTCTGTTTAGTTTACTTGAGCCATATATGTCTTTCTACTTATCTATGTGATAAATGAGTTTTTCGTGATTGTTCACTGATGTAATGTAGAAATGTAATGTATATACAGTACATAATAAAATTTAAATAATATTTGGAATAAGTTTTTCAGTTTACATGTTATGGGAAAGTGAAATGCAAGCTAATATAGGTATTTTTTTCTCCTTACTTTTAGGAAAAACAAATAATACATTGAATTTGACACACCGAAGTCACAGATAATGAGGACTTACCATTGTATACCATTATTCATCTGGACCTATATGTGCCATACAGTTGACACCATCCTATTACAAGAAAAAGCTAACGGTTATTTATCAAGCAAAAAGATAGCAGGTCTGACAAAAGATGATGGTAAAATGCTGCGTCGCACCAAGCGTGGCTGGATGTGGAATCAGTTCTTCTTATTGGAAGAGTACACAGGTACTGATACACAATATGTAGGCAAGGTAAGAATTTTTGAGTGAGAAATCTAAAAGCTGAAAGTGACAGTGATTTATTTTTTATAGCAACTTTCCACATCACTAGTGATCATTCAAAAATATGTAACTAATTACTATGTTCAGAAGGTGTGGTATTGCAAATTATTTTAGTGAGGAAGGGCAAGGAAACATATTTGGGCTCTACATGTAAATCAGTATCAATAATGAGCATAAACTAAAAGTCATGTAGATGGAGGTAATTCATTATTAATCAGCTAGTTATTATTTAATCATATGTGTGTTTTTGAAATAAAACTCTCCTGGAAATCTATTGATAGTTTATCGTAATTAAGAATAGTATACTCTGTATGAGAAATAAAGTACTTCTAGATGTTTCTGTTTCTTAATATCAGCGAGGCTGAGCTTCCTGCTTGTAATCCACACAAAAGTGTTCAAGGCAGTTGGATAAAAACATGATTAAATAAAAAAGGAGAAAGAAGACACTATCTTTAAGTAGATATACGTCTGTGTTAGTAGGAGCAAAGTCACTCATGAGCAATCAGAAGCAGACAATAATAGAGAATATGTAACTCCATTCTTGTGCTCGATTTTGAAGAAACAGGTTCATTGCCTCTCCTTCATCTCTGTTTAGAGACTTCGTTTTCCTTAACTCCTTATCTCTGTCTTTTTCTTTCTTTAGTGGCATAACCTTTCTGATACCCATAATTTTCTTTTTATCTGTCATCCATTTCCTTACCAATGACATTCACACTATTCTAAACTCAGAACAATTTATTTGTTAACTGTGATTATTCTCAATTTATACCCAATGCTGAGATATGTTAAAATTTTTACAACAAAAAAATTTTAAATACTAGCAGTCTACAGATCATAAATGTATTTTTTTTTTTTTTGAGTAATGGCATATATGTACTTGAAGGGACTGTAATGGTCTGAGTATTGTTTACTCACTGACAGCACCAGGCAAATAAATTAGAACAGGCCAAAAATGAAAAAAAAAATAAAAATAAAAATACAAGTACCTAATATCACAAACGTCACACTTGTAGCTTTCAAACCAGAAATACATTTGATCATGAGACTGCCAAAATTTTGATCTAACTCTTCCTTCTGTGTGTAGGCCAATCAAATGCAGTCTCCTTTATCAGAAGCCTATTATTTTATCTTCTTTTGAAATTTCTCTTTTCTGGTTCCATAGGTCATGCTTATTCCACCCCATTCAGTTCCCTTGCTGGTTCTTTTTTGCCTGTTATTTCTTCTCAGCTTAGTCATATGGCATCCTCAGCCATCCCTCATTTAACGTCACTTTTCACACTACACTTAATAACTAACATCGGGAAATTCAAGCTCAGCTAGCAAACATTTTTTGTCTAAGGATGTGAAATTGCCTTATGATTCTCCAAGGAAGTGTACAAAGGGCACACCAAGGTCATAGGGCCTTACAGAAACGGTTTTATCCTTGGAGATTCAAAGACACAGAAGAATAGCCACAGATAAAAAGAGATGCTCATAATCTTAAGGCAATTAAGGGTCTACGGCAAGCACTTATTTTTAGTCAAAAACAAAAATGCTTCCTTCTAAGCACTGAGTGTACACTGATTGATTTCTAAATTGACCACCATTCTTGCTCTCACATTTTAAAATATATATTATAGTTTAAAATTTTCTATGTAATCATGCTTACTTTTTAATTAATTCCATAATCTGTCATAAACAACTACTAAATGTATATACATGGTTTTGTTTAATTACTTTTCATAACATTTTTTTCATTTGTGTTGGAAAAATGGCATTTTGGATTTATGCATGGACAAGTTAAGGTGTGTGATGTTTGCCCCTATTTATTCTTGACAACAGGGTTATGAACCTCAAATAGAGCACTCAATATAATATCAGGTGTTGGGAGGAAATAAATACAATGAAACCCAAACTACCTATCAACTATTTTTATGTTTCCAATGGAAAATAATACGTATATGAAAGAGACACCTTAACAAAATAAAACACTTATACTACTTTTTGAAGAAAAAATAAAAATCTTTCTGTTTTTTAAATAGGGACTTATCTAAGAAATGGCATTACCACATATCTAGTTCATATGAAAGTGGGCTGGCTTTCAACCACATCTTAGCTTTTAGTAAGTTATTAAGGGCATTTACACTCTTTTTATCCTGCTTTTCTGGCTTTCAACATTGCTATTTATTTGCATATACAATGGCTGACCAGGCCCTTAACTCTAAACTTAGTCAGACATATGAATTCTAATAAGGATTTAACTTCTTGAGCACCACATAGATTATCTTTTTGACCACAGTGTTTCTGGTTTCCCTGGGTAGACCTAAATCTAGTCTTCCATGATCCACTGTATTGGTGGTATCTCTTGTAAAAAAAAGACCTGTCATATTCATCATGCACCATGATTGGAAAGGCTAAGTAGCTTCTAGTGTGAAGAAATTTCCATGGTTTCTTTATAGTTTTATAGATGCTAGATATCACAGAAAATGATAGGCACCATATTAATGTACAGGTGCTATAAAATTGGAAAGACACATTTTTAAAAGTTAAAAACGAGGGTTTCATCCTGAATGTAGAGGAAGCAGTTTTAGAAAAATAAATAGTGCATCAAAAGGTGATAAATAAATTATATACATATACACACACCAACATGCAACTTACAAGATTTTTTCTTGATTGTGACATTTACTATTAGAATTCAGAAGTTGTTTAAACTTTACAAGTCTCAGATTCTTGTTGGGTTAATTTACATCATCATTAAGATTTTTTCCATTCCAAATTTCTGGTCTTTTCTAAGATTTTGGAAAGGCCTGCCATTAAGTACAAAAACATCCAGAAACATTTTTGTAAATACGTGCATGTCCACAAATCTTAGAAGGTGAAATTGCATGCATGTAGCACAATGAAAGAGGCGAGTCTAAAAGGATAAAATTAGGCCTTCACTATGAAAGGTCCGGAATTCTAGGCTGAGTTGTTTTTACATAAAGCATGAAATGTGAATAAATCTGTTACTTTATACAAATCAGTTATGGGTGGAGCACAGAACTAAAGTAATCAGTTTTCTTTCATTGTCAGAATGGAAGATCTGAAACGATCAGTTTTCTTTTATTGTCAGGATGGATTAGAAGAGTAAGAAAATGAATTAAGATAATTTTAACAAGGTAATATTGCATAATTTTTTATGGCATTTCATACATTTGCAATATAGAAAAGCCAGAAGGGTTGGAATTAACAGCAAGTTTTTGTTTTTCACAACAATGCAATTTGAAATTTGGTTGGTCGTTCTTGACTAAAACCATCAGTTATTAATATTGTTTTACGTAATAAGGGAAAATTATTGTTACCCAAGAGAAAAACAAAATCACAATAATTGCCATCTAGCTTCTCTATAATTTGAATAGACACATGTGACTAGATTATTTAGACAGAATAGTAATAATGCTCAACAGATAAAATAAATTTAACAAGAAACATGAAAATGTCCCTACTATTCTGTCAGAGAGTCTTTATAACACTTTTTTTTTTGTACATAAGGACAAAGTCCAGAAAAATCTCTGCTTATCTTGGATCAGTAATCAATTAACCATATCCCAATTATCATTAAGAATGGAATAGAAGTTACCTATTTGATTTTAATATCTGGCTGTTAAAGCACATTTATTTTATGAAGAGAAACCCAATACCCAGACACAGCAGACATAGTGTTTATTCTTCACAAGGAAATTGTGAAGATTCATTTAATAACTTGGAATATCAACTTAACTGACCACTACATTTTAATTTAAAAATATGTATTTAGCACTTGCTTTGTGTAGAGCAAGGAACAAGGAGCTAATGAGCTGCCCATAGGTAGCCACCATTAGAACACAATAAGATATCTTTGTTGCAGAGTTATCTCTCACATTTTTATAATTTTAATTTAAAAATTTGTTATTCCATTCTGAAATCAGGAGTGTAATCAGAGAATCTAGAGTGGAAGAGGATTTTAACATTTATTGAGTTCTGCTTTCTTGATTACAATTGGTTTTCATGTTACCTAAAACAATGGGAAACACAGGTAACAAATGAAATTTCAGTAGGAATCTGTTTTATATTTGATTGTGTATCACAAGGTGGAGTGATGCTCTTTAATACTTATATATGCTGGTTTGAAGTATATATAAAATAATGGACTTGAAAAGGTAATTTTTTCATAAGCTTTTCAGGTATGGCAGTTTGCTTTGTACAAGTAACGGAAGATAAAGTAGAAACAGAAATAAAATCTCAAATTTATTTAAAGAGTTTTGATGAGTTGTTATAGCACATCACAGTGTTTTTCAGAATCTAAGTTAAATACATATATGATGATTTTTAAGTGTGATTACTTATGGTGCAATACGTGGAGCAGCTGCTTTTGATTTGTAAATACATTGTATTCCAAAATTCTCTTTATGCATTAGTTGTTTGTAAATCACAAAAAAAGCATTAAACATTCTGACAAGACTTTAAGGACAGAATACTGAGGCGTGTTTAGCACTGAGTTCTATAAAAACTCACTTTTAAGATATAGCTCCATCTTTTATTTTTACTGCCAATGCTGTATAATCACTTCACTTGAAAACTTCTTTAGAACACTAAACTTATCATTTTCTGACTTTATTTATCCTTTTTTTTAATGATCAGAAGCAGTTTACCAATGTATCTCTCGAGTAATACCAATCCTTAGCACAAAAATACATATAGAAAACTAACTGAAATTCACTTAAGTAGAATTCAAAGTGTTCGTTAGTACTCTTGCATATCCCCCCCATATTCTATGTTCCCGTAAATTTGTACTTGAGTTCTACTCAACATGATATTTCTTCTTCCATATCTCACCTTTTTTTTTTTTTTTTATCACGTCTTCAGCCCCCTTCCCATGGAGTATCTTACTCACTTTTTCGTAATCTCATCTCTGGTTTTTCTTTTCATTCTATGTCCTATCACAACTTCTGTGCCCAATCTTACATAAA